TGGGCCACACGGGGGCAGCCCTGGGCTCTGCTCCGTTTCGCGGTGTCTCTGCTCGTGGGGGCTCCTCCCGGCGACAGGCTCGGGGCGTTCAGCCTGGAGAAGAGAAGGCTTCAGGGCGACCTCAGTTCAGAGCCCTTTCCAGTGCATGAAGGGGCTCCAGGAGAGCTGGAGAGGACTGGGGACAAGGACATGGAATGACAGGACAAGGGGGAGCAGCTTCCCACTGCCAGAGGGCAGGGCTGGATGGGATATTGGGAATTGTTCCTTGGCAGGGTGGGCAGGCCCTGGCACAGGGTGCCCAGAGCAGCTGTGGCTGCCCCTGGATCCCTGGCAGTGCCCAAGGCCAGGCTGGGCAGGGCTGGGAGCACCTGGGACAGTGGGAGGTGTCCCTGCCATGGCAGGGGTGGAATAAGATGAACTTTAACGTCCCTTCCCATCCAAACCAGTGGACTCCACGGGTGTGCTCCTTAGGTGTTTTAGGTGCCTGTAGCATGTAGTCACGGGGAATGAAGGTATGAGATGCATAAGCAGCTAAAACAAAAGCATTTTGTTCTTTGCCTTCTTTCCAATTTGCTCCTGCCTCTTGTCTCCTCATTTTCCATCCCTCTAGGGAACCCTTTGTGCCTGATTGGGCGCCACCACTAAATCTGGGCTCCACTGTGTGCCCAGCTTCCTCCCAGGAACATGCTGGCCTAGCTGCCTCTGGGCAGAGTTTTGGTCCCTCCTGACAGCTGACAAGCTGTGGCTGTGCTGGCCAACAGGGTTTTGGTGAACTGAGTTTATTCTATTTATTTCTTACCACCTTTAAGACAGTTTTTTACCTTATTTAAAGCAAAAAGACTTAATATCTCTAAACAGGCTGCATTTCAGTCAGCTCAGACAGGGAGTTTTGTTAGGGCTGTCCTTCACGTCTCTGTGTTCTGGATTTAGTTCTTAAATTCAAATTTCCTCCCATATTTTGGTGGTGAAGGCAGGGTTTTAGGGTGGTTTACATCAGTATGTTTACTTTTGTTGGGGGACAGTCTAATAATCTGGGATAACACAGTTTATATGACAAATCACCTCCCTGCAATTATAATCAGTTGGAGAAAATACTTTTATTTTCAGTCTCTGGAGATACAGCCAGAACTTTTCGTTCACATGGCAGCAGCAAACTCTTCTCCACCTGGTTCTCTGGATCTAAACCAGCCTGGGTTTGCAAAGGAGATCCTGGGAACTAAACTGGAGGTCAAATACCTGTGCTCCGATTGCAAGAACATCCTGAGGCGGCCGTTCCAGGCGCAGTGCGGCCATCGCTACTGCTCCTACTGCCTGAAGAGAATCATCAGGTAACTGCTGGGCCTCCAGTGCGAAGGCACAATATTTGAAAGGCATTTTCAAAACAAAAGCAGAGAGAAGTGTTGTTTGCATGGCCTTCTCTCCAAGGGAGCTGTGTTCAATCATTGAGATTCAGTATAGTCTCTTCTCTAAGGGAATGTGTAATCTTTGACTTGCCTTTGTTGATGCTTCAAAGTTCTCTTTTCCAGAATGCCCTGCACTGTTTTTGCCATTGAGGAGGCAGTCCAGGTCTATCACCTCTTTCCTTCATCACAGTCATATAGTCATCATTTCACTGTTGTGTAAAAATGGGAGAGGTTTAAGCACAAGCTGGCTTCCAGAGAAGTCTCTTTGTGTTCTATCTTACTCCTACCTTTGTCTGAGGAAAGCCTAATAGAATGTTTAATTGGCAGAAGAAAGAAATTAGAAAGAGGCATCAACAATACACACAAGCAAAGACTCAGTGTGTTGCTTTAAAAATAAGAAAACATTGTCATTTCATAAAGTTACCAGAAGTCAATTCATTGTTAACTCTTTTTTTCAAATTTTTTTTTGTCGTTGTGTTTGATTATTATTTTTCTTTCTGATAGTGCTGGACCTCAGAAGTGTGCCAGCTGTATCCAGGAAGGAATATACGAAGAAGGAATTTCTATTTTGGAAACAAGCTCGGTAAGGAAAAATACATTGAAGAAAACCTAACAGAACACTGGTGTCAGTAATACCAGTTACAGTTTTTGCTTAAAACATGAGCTCTGAGAACTCCTTTTTCATAGGAACCCTTTTCTTCAGCTGTGAGAAGGTGATTACTGTGTTGGACTCCTCGTGCTGAAATCCAGGGCACGTGTGTGTAGTGGTGCCCTACTTAAAGCTGTCACAGAGATTTGGTTGCTGTTAACACACCTCTGAGGGTTGATGGAGCAACTGGTCTGGGAGGAGTTTTCAGAAAGAATTCAAAGTCCTGATCCAAACTGCAGTGCCTCAGTGATATTTGTGGTCTGCTTGTTTTGCCATTTCAGGCTTTCCCAGACAATGCAGCGCGGCGGGAGGTGGAGAGTCTGCCTGCTGTCTGCATCAACAGCGGCTGCACCTGGAAGGGAACCATCAAAGAGTACGAGGTACAGGCCAAAGCAAGGCTTGGCACATCTGCATCCTTCTTCCCTCTGCTTTTGGGGAAGGCTCAGGGTGTTGTCTGTGCTCGCTGACAGTGGGGGAAAGTTGTCAAATCCCTGGACTTCACTGTCAGCTGGAGAGGCTCCCTGAATGAGGATTTGTGTGCCCTGCTGAGGGCACAGGCTGGACTGAGATCAGTTCAGATTTGCTTGTGATCACAGGGATTTGCTTGTGAGCATGTTCCTTCTATGATGGGAACCACCTGCTCTCCTTGCAGCTCTTTTCTGCTATACAAGACTATCAAGAAATTGCTGTGCCATTAAATGGTTGTGAATTTCTCTGCATTATGTGAACCTAAAAATTTCAGACTCCATCAACTCACAGAAAATGACCTGATCCCATTTCAGCTGTCTCCAAAGCTACCAGGACAGTGGGACTGGATGTTGGGTACTGTCACCCATCACCCCAAACTGTTCTGGGACACAAGGCTGCTGGACAGGATGGTTTTTTCATCTAATTTCTCCTCGAGGAGCCCACTAACTTTTTAATACAGATTTTAGTTGTGGCTGGGGGTGCTTGGTCTGTAGTGTGTGACTGTATGTGAAGCTTTTGGCTCCTGAAGGACAATTTTGTCATCCCTCTTGGAATGGCAGAACCGCCACGCTGGAGGCCTGAGATAAGAGGAGTTCATTTTATTTCTCTCTAATACTCACTCCAGATTAAGATCATAGCCTGGTGGTTCACACTCACTCCAGATTAAGATCATAGCCTGGTGGTTCACAGAGCTTTGCCAGTGACTGAGATGTGTTTCAGAAGCAGGTTTAACCTTGGTCTGTCCAGGCTATCATTGGGATTCTCCTGACATTGCAAAGTGGAAGAAGAAGCAACAGCTGTGCATCAGGCCTGAGCATTCTGCCCAGACTGTGCCTCTGCCTGTTGGCAGAGAGATGCTTCTGCAGCTCTGCTTCCTTGTCCTGCTGTCTGAGCCTTCTGCTGCGTGCTCAAAGTTTAGTCCAAGAGATGAGGATGTCGGTGCTAAATGGTTCTGCTGCTGTGAACCCCCATTTGTACATCTGTGAGAGGCTCATGGTGTGGATGTGGGACTGAAGAAATGTCAGGTGAAAAGCTTAACACTGCCACAGTACAGAGTTTGGGGATTGCCTGTCCAGGGGCAGGGTACCCTGGTACTGAGGTTTCGGGTTCAGGCTGTGCTGGTGGTGTCTGCAGATTGTTTGCTCCATGCTTTAATTTCTGCTGGTGCCCAGAGGTCCGATATCTTCTGCAATGCTTATAGTGAGTTCATTTTCATGAGACAAAACCAGATTATCTGTCAGCAACTTCCAGTGCTGATTGTACTGTGGCTGATGAGCTGTGCTGAACTTTTTCTTCTGTTTTTAAGAAAAGTCTTAACGTGTTCTTGCAGAGCTCAGCAAAAATCTTCTGCTGCCTAAAGTTCTGCCTATGTATTCTGACAAGTGTTAGAGTGCTTGAGTCTGGCCAGAGCTCCCTCTGGGAGTTCAGAAGGGCAGCGAGCTGTCCAGGGGTCAGGCTGCAGAAGCATGTGGTGCCCCAGAACCTTGCACACTGCTGATGAAAAGCACCTATATGGGTGAGCCTGGGCCTTGTTTTCACTCTCCACTTGATCTTCCCAAACCCCAGTTTGGCGTTTGCTGGGACAAAGGATGATTGATGGAAGTGTGGCCCTGGTGTGCGTGGGCTGTGGGGCTGGGGCATCTGTGATATCTTCCCTGCCAGGGGTTTTATGAGTCTGGGGGAGTCCTGTGTGGTAGAAGGGGTGTGAGGGTTTGGAGCAGTGCTGGCTGTTTCCTCTCAGGGGCTGAGACGCCTCTCCTGCCTGCCCTGATGGCATTCAGCCTAAGGAAGGAGGTTATTTTGTGCCCTCTCAGGAAAAGCTGGCTCTTTCCTAGGAACTGGTGGGAGGAGGCAAGGTCTGGCTTGTGTTATCTCCTCTCACATGCCTGCCAAAGAGCTGTGGCATTTAATCAGGACTGGCTGTCGCCATGCTGCCAAAGCCATGTGTGTCGCTGAAGAGGGCTGGGAAAGGAGGCCTTGGGTGGCTGTGTTAGCCCAGAGCCTTGTGATACCTTGGGCTGAGGTTAAAGCCTGCAGGGCCGCAGTGCAGAGCTGCCTGCTGCAGAGGAGCTGCACCCGTGGCTGTGCTGTGGGTAACGTCCTGCAGCAGCTCAGCACTCCCACTCTGGAAAGTACCTCAGAGCTATTTCTGAGAGGACATGGAAAGTCCCTCAGAGTGAATTCACTGTTTGCTAATTTTAAAATCGTGTGTTGTGCTGAGAGAGGCTGCTCTCCCCTTGCAAACTTCTGATTTGCTAATCTTATCTGGGCACACACAGGGGAAACATGTTCTGCAGCTGGAAAGCTTAAACCTCAAGAAAAGGAGTAAAATGGATTTCAGTTTTGCTTTCTGTTCAGACTAAAGTTTGGCTCTCAAAGGAAAATGCAAAACTGAATGAGTGCTGTTTGCTTGGACATGACTTGCACTCTGCTTCAAGCTGTGTGGAGCATATGAAATATTTAAGTCTGGATTTATGGCTGCATTTTTCAGAGTGTGTAAATATTTTGTGGCATTTGGATAAAGTAGTTTGGGGCAGGGGGCTGAAGGGTTTTTCCTTTTATTAGTGACCCTTTTTCCTGATAAGTCTGTCTGCACGTACATTTCGAAAATCAGGCTGTGGGCATGAGCCTTTAGATTCAAGAGCAAAGTCTGAGAAGGGCTGCAGAAACTAAATTCAGCCCATTAAAGCAAAAGGAAAAACCTCAGAAACAGTCCCAGTGATATCCAGGAGAGGGAGTTTGTGGTTCCTCAGCTCTGGTGTGTTCCTCCTACCCTACAGTACCTCTGGCTGTCCATGTCCCTCTCCTGTTTATCAGCATCCTGTTGACAGTTTTCATACACCTTTTATGATTGCCTTTCATCCCACCAGTTGCCTTCCTGTGTCCTCCCCCCAGGACTGGGATGGGAGGAGGGGGCTGAGGAGGTGGGCACACGGGGTCAGCTTTGGCATTCCCCTTGGTTACCCCAGACAGGGAATTTAATGCAGCCCTCTTCTGCTGGAAGCAGAATTAACTGAGACATAAGGAAATTGTCCAAGTTTAGGAAGTTTTTAAGTTTTAAAACTTAAAAAATTAAGCTTAAACATAAGGTCAATGTTTAAACTAAGTTTTGTGGGGCTCAGATCAGCTCAGCTCCTGAGGCCAGGCAACAGTCAGGTGTGGGAACAAGCTGGAAACAACGTGCTTTCCTCGAGTTTTTTGCTGTCATTTTGATTTTAGAAAGTTCTTTGTAAGTGGAACCTGGAAGGCTGCAGAAGGTGCATAGCTCCTATCCCAAGTGATGTTACTCAAAAGCCTGTGGTGTCAGAAAGGATGTCTGCAGCCCCTTCTGGGCTATGGGGCTTCCTGGCTCCAGAAGAACAGGATAACCAGGCATTCCTTTCTGCCCACTGTTCATACTCAGGAGATGCTGTGGAGCCCCTGCCATGCCTTACCCAGGGAAAGCTCTCTCTTCAGAAGGGCTCCCGGGGCCCTGAGCGTGTCGTGCCCCTCCTTCCCAGCTGTAACCCGGCAGTGCCCCAACAGGTTTTGGTGGTGATTTTCAACTGAGGCTGAAACTCCATCCTCAGGGTTTTGCACATTGCTTAGAGGAGAGCTGTTGGTCTTTGAAGCTTGTTCACCTGTCTCCTGCTCCACAAAGTTGTTCCTCTGGGTGTTGTATCATTGTCATCTGTGTGGGGTACAACGCTTGAGGTGCTGTGGTAGGAGCACTTGGTGCTGCTGTGGCAGGGTGACCAGCCTTCTCTTTAAAACCCAGTGCAGCATTTATTGGCTTCTTCTGAAGGTTTTGGCTCCAAATTCTGGGCTGATGGTGAAGTGCAGTTTGCAGCTAGCTCCAGCAGGACCAGACAATTTTCTGGTGAGAGAATCCCTGACTTGCACATGGATGTGACCAAAAGGACCTTCTGCTTTTGGAAAAGGGATCAGACACACCTATACTTTCCAGAGCCAGAGCTGAGGCCCACAAGCACACCCCAGCCACAGCCCCACAGTAGCTGGTGTAGCTGGCTGCCCAGTCACCAGCAATTTCCTGTCCAAACCATGGTGGGAGGCAGAGCCATGGCGAGTGCTGGAGAGCAGGCGTGGGAGGGAATTGGAAAGCCCCGGCTGCAGAGGGTCTGCTCTTCACTTCTGAAACCAGCTCAGCCTTCTTGTGGTGACCCAAAACTTAATGGTTTTGACATCTGCTCCTTGGAGAATGAAAAGCTGTAAGTCACGAGGTTTGAAGTGGAGGGGAGTACTGAGTGTGGTTCATATGGCTCTGTGCTGTGAGGAAACCCCTCACCAGGAATGCAGGTGGAGGAATTGTGGAGGGATTTGGAAAAAGCATCCTGGAGTGTACCACCACTTCATGCTTGTTCATAGTTGAAAGCAACCAGGAGTGGCAGAACCTATTTTTAAAAATGACAGAAAACCTACTACTCCTTCAAATGCATTTTGTACTTTCCTCTGTTCTAAGAAATCACTCTTGCCTTCACACTTGTCTTCAGTACCTGACACACTGCCTTGGTGTCCCTCTGCCAGCAATCCCTAAATCAAACCTCTGTCTGATCAGCCCTAACAGTTGATGAACAAAATTTCAACACTGAAAACAAGTAGGTCTGCCCTGGGTCTGAACAGAGGCTTGAGCCAGGCCCACAGGAAACCCCACAAGGCTTCTTCTCCTTTTGTCCTCACTCAGGTGGGCACCAGAGCACTGAGAGCAGTGAGGGTGTGCTGGGTTCCCAAGCCCTCACTGCCTGCCCAGCTGGAGCCAACAGCACCTAGTGATGCAAACTTCATCTTTGGTTTTGACAGTTTCTTTGAAATGCTGCCAAGTGAACTTGCTTGTATCTGTCAACAGCATGTCCCAGTAAGGGAGGAGTTTGTGGCTGGCACCAGCCTGTGTGATGGTCTCAGAAAGCTCCCATTCCCATTTGTCACTGGGAATTACAGACTGGGTTCCTGCTTTCCAGCCTTGTGCTGCTGGGCTCCATGCAGAGGCACAAGGGCTGGGTGTGTGGTCACCCTGTGCCTGGTAGCCTGACTCACCTGTATGGGGAAAGGTTCAAGCAAGCCTGGCATAGAACCAGCTTAGGACTTCTATGGCAGGAGGAGCTGCAGCACAGAAGGGCATGGGCACTTCAGAGGAGCAGGGCGTCCCAAAGCACCTGCCTTGTGTGGCACATTTCCATCTTGCAGGCTCTGGAGCCCCTGGGAAAGTGACAGAGGTGCACGAAGCAACCGATGCTTCTTAGCACAAGGGATTCAGGTTCCCTACACACTCTCTTTTTTATACTGGAGACTAATTTTCAGTGTTTTCTCTGCAATTTCATGGGCCCACCCTTTTCCTTGTTACTGTGTCCAGGAAGCCAAGTGCTGCACATGGCAATGCTGGGGCTGGAGACCACCCAAGCCCTCATAGCCCCGTGTCATGGCAGCTGGCTTTCCTCTGCCATCCTGGTAGTTTTGTTTCCTTCTTGTTGCTCCCTTCCAGCTGCCAAGCCCTTGCAGTAACCTGCTTATGGTTACTGTTGCTGTGCTCAGAGGAGACTGATGGAGTGACTTTCCAAGACCTGGGGATTTTGCAGGGGAGCTGCAGCGTGCAGCTCGCTCTGAGCCTGTCCTGCTGTCCCCTGTCCCTCTGCCAGCCCTGCCCTTTGCCGTGGCCTTTCCATGGGCTCTGGCAGAGGTATCTCCCAGGAGCTGCTTCAGCAGTGGCATTTCCCAGCTGCCTGCCTTGTCCCTTGGCTGGAGGGGGAGCCCAGAGTCATGCTGATGGATTCCTAGCATGGTTACAAGACCTCAGATAAAAAACTGGACCTGTATGGATGTGGCGGGTTATGAGCAGAGCAGCCTGGCAGCAGGGGCATGTCCTGTCCACCAGAGTATGGAGATAATGATTTCCAGCAGCAGCCTCTTCCAGAGTTGAAATTGAATTTAGGGATGCCCTGAGGTGAAGTGGTGATCAGATTAAAGTGCACTTTTCCCTCTTGGCTGAGGGAGAAGTAGGGGAGCAACTCACCCTGGCATTGTATAGAACCAGAGAATTTCCCAAGCTGGAAGTGATGGACAAGAATCATGCAGTCCATTTCCTGGCCCTGCACAAGACACCAGCAGACACCCCAACAATGCCACCCTGGGCATCTCTGGCAATGCTGTCCAAACATTCCTGGAGCTCTGGCAGCCTCGGGGCCGTGCCCATTCCCTGGGGAGCCTGGGCAGTGCCAGCACCCTCTGGGGGAAGAATCTTTTCCTAATATCCATTCTAGCCTCATCCTGACACAACTCCAGCCATTCCCTTGAGTCCTGTCACTGGCACACAGAGCTGCCCCTCATGAGGAAGCTTCAGAGCACAGTGAGATCTGCTCTCATCCTCCTTAGGAATGATCACTGTGTGCTTCAGGGATCAGCTGCCCTTACCAAAACCCACTTTTCCCTCTGTATGCCTTCACTCCCCTGCACAGCTGCAATGCAAGAGTGCTGCCCTTGCTGGCTGGCATGAAACAGCCTCATCCTGCTGCCGGAGTGTCCAAAGAAAAACTTTGTCTGCCAATACTGCAAATTTAAATCATATACAGCTTTTCTGCTTTCCTGATACTGAGGTGGGAGATTCCCAGTACCCACGGGCAGCTCCATTTGCTAGTAGGCCTGCAGGCAGAGAGGAGAGCTCAGCACCTTTGAGCAGCCTGGAGAAGAGAAGGCTCTGGGGAAACCTCCCTGCAGCCTGTAAGTGCTTAAAGGGGGCCTGAAAAAGATGTAGAGAGACTTTTTACATGGACAGATAGTGACAGGAAAAGGAGGAGCAGTTTTAAACTAAAAGAGGAGAGATTTAGATTAGATGTTAAGAGGAAATTCTTCCCTGTGAGGGTGGGGAGGCCCTGGCACAGGTTGCCCAGAGCAGCTGTGGCTGTCCCATCCCATGGAAGTGTCCAAGGCCAGGTTGGATGGGACTTGGAATGACCTGGGACAGTGCAAGGTGTCCCTGCCCACAGTAGTGGGGTGGAATGAAATGGGCTGTAAGGTCCCTTCCAACCCAAACCATTCCATTATTCTGTGATTCTGATTTGCCTCACACACAGTCCCTGACTGTGATCCTCTCCATTGCCCTGATCCTCCCACGGGCAGCGGTGTTGGATTTTCTAACCTTTCTGGTGAGCTCCCAGAGAATGACATGTCTGATGGTGGTGGGTGATGGGCAGGCAGCTGTGGGGTTGTGTCACTGTTTATTATTAGGGAAGGAAATTGATCAATCAGCGGCTTTGGTTGTAATTCAGTGGGAAGAACCGGGTGTTGCTGAAGGCTGTTAACTCTGCCCCATTTGATTTTCCTGCTCCTGGTGTTGGATGCTGCAGGCTGGTGTGTGCCTTGCTGGGTGAGCCATTGTCTTCCAACTCCACTTTAATTCTTCCATGGCTGTCCCCTCTCTCTGATCCCTGTCCAGCTTGATTTCCATTCTGGTTTCCCTCTGGGAGAGTGCCTGCTCTTGCCTAGTCCCACGCACAGCCATGATGACTTTCTAGAGCTCCCAAAAACTTTCCAAGCAAGTGCCTGGATGTGAGTGTGAGTGGTGCTTATCCCTGTAGCAGAAGCTACAGCTATGGGTTTGGGAAAGATATAAACAGGAGGATTGCCCCATTGCAGGGGGAGTGGAGTGTGGCAGATCAGGCTCAAGTGCCAGCCCCTGCTCTTGGCTCCATGGTCGGCTGGATTTCTTCCAGGAGTGATACCATCTATCTCTGTTCTGACACCCACCTGGGACAGGAGGAACAGGGCTTTCCAGAAGAACCTGAAACTGTTTATACAGAAATGTTTGGATCTGCGCTGGCTGAAGCCTCTGGTGTCTTAAACTATTTACATACACAGCAGTTGCTCTTTGAGCTCCTTCCCATGCTGCAGGCAGGGCTGCCCATTCTTGGCTGTTACGTCATGGTGCAGAGGGGAATCAGGATGGAGGATAAATGCTGGGAGGTGGGGAGTGTGGTAGTTTCACACCCACATGTTGGCATGGGAGACCATAAGTTTAAAATAATCCCTTTTAAAATAGTTGCCTCTGCAGTGAAATTTCCTTCTTTCAGCCAGACCATCTGTTCTGCCAGTGCTTTGTGGTTCATGGGGTAGATGTTACTGGGTGTTTCTAGAACATGAGAGCAGTAGGTGGGTAAAAAAAAGGGCTCACTCCCTCTGAGTGAGTGGGATAAAGGCAGGCACTTGGCCTCCTCCTCCTCCTCTGCAGGCAGCAGTGCTCTCCAAACCCCGCTGGCTGGCCAGTCATCTCTCCAGGGACACACAGTGAAACTCTCAGCTTAAGTTACTCACTTAAAGCATAAAAAGGAGAGAGTGACCAAGAAGCCGGGGTGGAGTTACTGCTGGTTTCACTTTTCACTTCCTGATGTGTGACATGGTGAGGTTTGTGCGTGTTCCCCTAGAAGGTAACAGAGATTCATTGTGACCAAGTTTTCCAACATCTGGGTTCAGATAGCTGCATTAGAAATGCTCCTGGTTGGATTTTTTTTCTGTCCCTACCATGGCAGGAGACTTCAGTGCTCTTATATTTTAATTTGAGTTTTGATCTGCATATTCATGGTGTTTCCAGTGCCTTGTTTCAACTGGTGGATGTAGAACAAGAAGGTTTAAGCAGCGTGGAAATGGTACAGAAGCAGTGGCATGTTCCAGCATTCCATTTAGCCAGCACTGTTGCCAAAGACTCTACTGAGGACAGAGGATCACATTGCCCTGATTGTTTGTTCAACCTCTCTGGCCATCATCCAACCCTGCGTCTGGCTGCAGAGGCAATTGCTTGTGTGGAGGGACTGGTAAATGAAACAGTTTAAAAACAGTGTGCAGCTGTTTTCTTTCTACTTGAAAAATGGTATTCTAGTTCAAATGTGAAGATACAATCAGACAGCTCAGCTCGGCATGTGATGAGCTGTCATGGGGCCTATGCCTCAGCTGACTGATAAACATTACAGTGGAAAAAAGACCCAAATTATCCTGCTGAGGTAATGGCTCACTCCACTCAACCTGCATCAATGTGTCTCCTCCTGGCAGAGCCATTAATGGAGTTTCCCATTGATTATCTTGGCCATCAAAGGAATAATTTGAATTTTTTAAAAATCATTGTAGCATCTTTTAAATAGAGGTTGGGTGCTACATAGGCACCCAAAATTGGGGTAGCCTGGAGGTCACACAATGAGTCAGCAGCTCAGAGGGATCAGCGTGACTAAGGTCTGAGTGTAGGTTGGTAAATCCAGTGTTCATCTGTAATAAGGCATAAATCCAGCCCCTTGGGATTGTGCCCATCACAGAACCTCCATGAACCTTTTATCTGAGGACAAATATCTCCTGTGTGTTCCTTCACAGGCTCATGATGAAGTCTGCCCTGAATTCCCGCTGACTTGTGAAGGCTGTGGGAAGAAGATTCCCAGGGAGAAGGTATCCATCTGACTCTGTGCCGTGGGGTATTTGGTGTCCTGATGGGCTGAGTTTGGCATTCTGGCAGCAGGGAGGAGCAGAGTCCATTAGGAAATGAAGTGGGGAAAACAACTGAGTGGCAGCTGTTAATGTGGATGTGAGTTTTCCATAGGATAGGTGTGAGGTAATGTGGCTCAGGGGCACTCGCAGGTCACAGTTGGTGCTGCCACTGCCACCTCCCCTGGGATCATGTATGGGGACAGAGCCTCTGTGGGAAAATTCACTTATGGGTTTTTCTTCTGCATAGAGCAACTGCATCAACTACTGCTGCAATTTTGGAAACAGAGCCCATGCCCAGCTATATTAATTGATATCAGAGTAATCATCGAATGGAATCCATGTCTATAGAATTTCCAGGCTGCTGGCTCCTGGAACAAGGCTCAAGAATCTGAAAAATTCAAGTTTTGGGAAACATTTTCAAAAAGCTCATTCATCTGAAACCATCTTGCCTTCTATAGGCAAATATTTTTAGTAGTAGTGTTGGAAAAAGCCCTTTACCAGGGCCGGGGAACAGAGGCAGCAAAAAGAGGAGCAAAAGAGTTCTTCCAAATGGGCAGCGTAAGGAGGAGCTAGGGGTGGGGATACAGCCCACCTTATCTGCAGGCTGGGGTTTGGGGTACAGCCCAGCTTCTCTGCAGATGGGAGCTGAAGCCCTGCAGGAAGCCACCTCATGGGGTCCCCATGGGTGATCTACTCTGTGTTTAAATATTAACTCCCATGTTTATTTCTCCAGACTGTTATTTGCTGCCATGTTAACTCCGAGTAACCTGACTCATTACACAAGCCACATGGATCTAGAAGTCTTTAAAAACGTGGTTTAAAATCAGTTTTAATTGACATCTGTTGTAGCAGATGTAGGAGTTAAGTGGGGAGGGAATATGGTGGTGTTCAGAACAGAGCTCTGGTACTGATGGTGAGAAGTGCACTAAACCCAAGCTGAAGCTGTGACAGAGCTTGTTGGATTAATCATGTGCTGTGTGGGAACCTGAACGAGTCATCTCAGTGCTGAGGGGTTAGTGGCACCTCTCAGCAGAAATGTAATGCTGGGATGGAGGTAAAAATACCAACCTGTAGCACGTCCTTACCAGAGTTGTGTGAAGTGCCCAAAATGAATGTGCCCTTGTTTCATGGGCTTATTGCCTGTGCCTCCCATTCCTCAGCCCTCAGGGAAGCTCATTATTCTGCATCCACAACTTGATCCTGTACCCATTGCTTTTTCACTCTTGCATGTGCAGGTGAGCAGTGAGACCTCCCAGCCATCAAGAGAAGGAGAAATTTGGCTTCCTTCAGGTGTCAGGGCTGTATTTGCATTCTTGAAAGTCACACCTGATGGCGGGCAGAGCCCAGGTTTAGTGGGCACTGTGACAGTGATTAGCCATAGCTTGGGCATTCTTCAGCTTGGCTGTAGTTTCCCAAATGTCAGTGGGGTGACAAGGGAGCACTACGGACACATGAGATCTAACACTGCTCTCTTTCCTCCCTGTCTAGTTTCGGGACCATGTGAAGACGTGTGGCAGATCCAAAGTACCGTGCCGGTTCGAGGCTGTGGGCTGTGCTGAGATGGTAAGGGCTCCTCTCTTGGGTTTCCCTGGGGCTTTTCAGTCCCAGCATTAGAGTTCCTGCAAACCGCTGTTGCCCAAACTGTCACATGTGTTAAATCTGTTTTCCTTCAGATATTTGATTAAACCCCTTGCACATGGAGCTTCACATCATCTGCTGTGCAGAATCTGCGCATCCCAGGAATTAAATTCCTGTGGGATGAAATCTCCTTCTACTTTAAGAGCACCCTAAGTGCTTTGGGACTGTGGTGGTTATGCCACTTTCAGGGGGAATGGCTTCACACTGCCAGAGGTCAGGTTTAGATGAGATTTTTAGAAAGAAATTGTTCTTTGTGAGGGTGGGAAGGCCCTGGCACAGGGTGCCCAGAGGAGCTGTGGCTGTCCTGGGATCCCTTGGACAGGATGAGCTTTAAGGTCTCTTCACATCCAAGCAAGTGTGTAATAACTTGTGATTACAGTGATTCTGTAAGCAGAGTACTGGGGCCAGGCCATTTCTGTATGTCACTTAGTTTTTGCAGGTCCTACTGGTTCAAATAAATCCCTCCTCCAGGAGGTTATGTGAGGCTTTGTCCTTTGTTGCTGTTAGGTACATCTGACAGAGCTTTTCTGGGAGGGGTTGGAGGAAGGCAGAGCAGACTAATACAGCTGGGGGAAGCGTTTAGCAACCCTCATTGTATGTGATTTGAAACATTTCTAAAACTAAACAAAAACCCAAACCACCCCCACCAAAACAAATTTTTCCATTATTTCTTTGTTTTTTCCCCCCGATAAATTGTAAATTTAAAGCTGATGTTGTAGTGTGTTTTTATACTTTGTAATACTTTGAAGTAGTTTTGGTTTTGTATCCTTGTATTTTTCCCAAATGGTTTATCCCAGACTGTACCCCCTCCCTTTACCTGTGTAATCCCTCTCCCTGGATGAGATCACCCCCAAACCCCCATCCTGGCTCTCTGTCAATCACTCAGCATCCCATCCCCTCCATCTAGAAGCTTCAGCCCAGGATGCTGAGCGATCAGCCAGAGGCCAGGGGTCAGCCCCCCAAGCCTTGCCCCATATGCTGTCCTAAATGTCCATCTCCCAGTACCCATCCCTCAGGGTCACTTATTGGTCAGTAAATGTTCTCTACTT